CGATAGAAACAAAAGCAGAGCTAGCCAAGACAAAGGAAGAATTGACCAAACTGAGCGCCGCCCTGCAAGCCACCAATACAGTTATGGACGCCAGGGAAAGTGCAAGGAAAGAAGCGGAACGGAAAAGGTTATCAGTCCAAAACCGCAAAAAACCGCAGAAAGCAAAACCAACCGCCGCAGAGATAGCTGAAGAGAAAGAATTCGAAGCAAGGCTGGCCGAAGCCGAAAGAGAGGAACAAGCAGAGAGAGAGGAAGCAGAGTGGACGCACAACTAGCCAAATATGCGGGATCGTACGAAGATTATCTGGCTAGAGAAGCGCTCGAGAAGCTAACCCCCGACAAGCCGCCCACGATCAAAAAATAACGGCCCGTCGCAGGAGACCCACTTGCCACCATCTAAACCACGCCCACCAGACCAGCCGCCATGACAGTTGAACCAGCCAACCACCCAACCCGAAAAACACCCCACAGCTCGCTACCAGCCAGGCATGATGTCAGCCGCCAAACCTAATCCCTTCCACCCGTTCGAGGCCGCCCCGGCACACTCTGCTAGTCCTTCTCAGGACTAGCAGACATCCACTTCCCAACTATACTGCAGAAAATCCAGCAGGCCGACAATACCAAGTCAAAACCGCTCAGAAAGGCAGACGCAAATAAAGCAACGTCCCAGTGACACGCTGAAGCGTCAGATTTTTTACTTTTTTTTTCACTTTGAACGAACGAACGAATCTCCATGGCTGATTACGGCCACATTGTCAAATACTGATGTTTGTATGTCAGATTATAATCATCTGATTCTATAGTGGCTATCACATGCGCATAATAAGCACAAGACCACGTGTTCAAGCCCTCGCTAATTCCTTTAAAAAAAAAAAAAAATTGTCGCTTTCACTGTTTTCATCACTTTCAACTGAAGTTTAAAAACAAAAGCAGAAGTAATAAGAGAGTGACTACAGTTAATTTTGCTTAAAGTTGGACTACTGTAGCTTATTTGGGACCATCGATAGTACTACTGATGGTCCCGATTTATTGATCATTCCCTCTTTTGGCGCTACCATCCTACTATGGGTACTGAAGCAGTTAAGGTCGCTGTAGCTTGTTTGGTCACATTTGTGGGACAGTCCAAGTTCCAACAGGTCGGAGGCAGTAAGAACCTCGAGTGCACTTAGGGGCAAAGACTTAACATACAGTAACGGTAGAGTTAAATATGAAGTAGAGGACGGGAGATTAAAACTGAGCGATGTCCTAAGGAATGCATCGTACGTTCATAGTGTCCTACACAGAAGCCCAATGAACGCGATGAGCTGATTTTAGTCTCTCTTGGCCACCCCGTGGGCCTCTGAGGCTAAACTCCCTGGGACTCAAAGATATTAGGTATTAGTTAGAACCCCCCCCCCCCCCCCCCTTTTTCCCAACCTTTTCTTTCAACATGCCTCGACACCAAAATGTTGCTATGTCATAGTGTGCAGGTATTTTTTTTTTTATGCCTCTTTGCTTTGTGAGTCAACATTTGACAATATTAGCTAGCTTAAAGTATGTGTTAAACATAAATATGCTATACTGAAAAGGCACAAACATTGTATATACTAATTATAAGTCAGAAGACTGAACAGGATATTGCTTATAATTTACTACACAAACTACATTAGGCTGCAAGTGTAAAATAACCTGGCAGGAGGCTGTTCATGTGAAACTTCGTTTCCGTTGTGTTGACGAGAAAACAATGTGTTTTTAAACAGTAAATAAATACATGTAAGTTGTTTGTGCTCTTCAACGAATACAGTGTCATATTGACAGGTATTTTATGTTTGGGTGTGAGCAACACAACATTAACTTATTTTGCAACCTTCACGAAAACAAGTAATAAGAAAGTGCATGTCACTGTCATCATTTGTTAGTTGAGTTTTTGATTTTTTTTTTGCAGTTGAGTTTTCATTTATTCTTCATTGTTAACTTGTTGATTTCTTCTGAAATAAAAACTTTTCAATCAGATGTCTGACAATTGTTGAAAAACATTTACTCGTTTGTTTTAAGTACTTTGAAAATTGTGTTGGTGTATTGTTATATACGTTTCACCCCAATGGCATTATTTTAGGATGTACATGGAAAGATAAAAAGGCGCTCCTTTGATTCATTCCTCAAAATGGCGGCATGCCACATTCTGGCCATAAAATATCCAAAAATATCCGAACGACGGTGTTCACGTATATCTAAAATATGGACTGTCTGCCAAGGAACAAATCGCGGCAAAACTATGATTACTTGACAATCAATATCAACATTTGCAGACGATATTAGCGACCGTTGACCAATTTCGAGACATTACAGACGATGAAAGCCGATTAGTAATACTGTGTTCTTCTGATTGGAGGATTTAGCAGCGGTAGATGTCAGACTTGTTGGCATGCGCCAAACGCGATTAAACGCATCGCTTTGCGTATCCCCCGAGCCGCTACGCGCGGCGCGGATGGGGGCTAAACTAGGTGCCTGGGACTCAAGAGTACAGTAATTGGAGAAAGTTGCAGGAGATGAGGTAGCTGCCGCTCGTGAGTCCCAGCCATCTAGTTTAGCCCCCATCCGCGCGTAGCGGCGCGGGGGATACGCTCGGCGGTGAGGCACACTCGCAGAAGCAGGTCGGCAAGCAACGTATCGCCGAGACCCTGTCAGAGCATTTGTTTCATTATCCGGAGCCGGCACATATATTTTTAATAAAACTGACCCGCATTAGGATATTTTTGGATATTTTATGGCCAGAAATTGGCCAATTTAGCTCTCTTTCGAACGCCATCATATTAAAGCCGCCATTTTGGGGAACGATTTAAAGAAGAGCCGATAAAAAGTGATAGCTATCCTCTGAATAACTGGCATAAAAGATGGTGCCGCAAAAACATCCTAACAGAGCCACAGTCACGTGTCAATTGCGGACTTCCGGCGACTTAATTTGCTGTGTTCCGACGACTACCTCCACCCCAAGAGTCCCCCCCCCACGCCGCTCAAGCGGCATGGATTGTGGCTAAACTAGATGGGTATGATCACGAGCAGCAGCTTCCGCATCTCCTGCAGCTTTGCTCGTGAGTCCTACACATCTAGTTTAGCCCCAGTCCACGCCGCGGAAAACCGCAAATTAAGTCGCCAGAAGTGCGCAATTGACAGTGACTGAGGCCCTGTTATTGACCGCCATCTTTTGTGCCCGTTATTCAGATAGCCAAAGTGATATTATTATTCGTTAATAATATAAAAATTTAACTCATGCCATTGCTTACTGAACTGTCGAAACCAAAGCGAGACAAATCATCCGCATCTGAGATCGAACCCGGTACCCTGGCATTGTGAAGCGCGTTCGCAACGCCTAAGCCACAGATGCTGACACTAAAAACTGTAAACCTGCCTCTCCGCTAAATTTCTCGGCACATGACAATAAGTAGATGTTGGTCAAGTTTTAACGAATGCTGAGCTAGACCCAGGTTGAGTTCATTAGTAAGACTGGATTTTTTCCTGTCATGGGCAAAAATAAAGCCATAACCTGCACTGGCCATGAGGCAACTGCAGAAGCCTTAAATCCTCAGGCTTAAGATCTGTATGTCCTAGACTGCATTAAAAAGTGGTCAGTACTGACAGTTTACATTCTTATCAACAAATTGGCCTATGATTTTATAATATGCATTGTGTAACACATGTGTCAAATTTGACTCAGTTGTTGGTATTATCTCTGTAAGAAAGATTTACACAAGAATACAAGCCCATTTGTGCAAGTCCTTATATGCACACATTTAATTTTAAACAGACTGCATCAATGTGGCTGTCGTGTTACATGATCGTCATGATGTACCAGAACGTGAAGTTTAAATCGCTTATCGGATATAGTCTCATTTTATTTAATTTTACCGACCAGCATTCTTGACAGTCTGCCATTTTATTGTTTCCTTAAATCTGTCTCTACCAGACCACTCACAGTGCATTTACTGATTACACTGTATTCAGCGTGTGGATTCCAATGCCCATTTTGGGGGTCGGGGGTTTACCCCTAACAAGCATGTCAGAAAAGATGACTATTTAGGGGTTAAATCTTTGAAGCCAATGTGCAGCTTTCTGAAAGGTGAGGAACCAACAGTCTGCCTACAAATAAGATACATCTGTAAAATGTATGTATACACAAAACTCAGGTTTTGGAATAAGAACAGTCCAAAGGTGGACGAGCAACCAAAACTTTCTGCTGATGAATACCAAGAAGAAAAGGAAGATAACTCTGTAGTTATTGTATGATGTTCCCATGTGGTTTTTAGGACCCCATTGTAGGGAAAACAAGAATAGACCCACTGCTTTCCCAAGAAACATGTTGAAAAGTAGACTAGTTGTGGCATCCCTCGAAGCTGGAGTACATCTGCTGAGAGGCAAGGAACCAAGAGTCTGCATACAGATTAGCCGGATGTGTGAAACTGATGTGCACGTAACACTCATGTTCTGTAGCAACAATAAAGTCCAGAGGTGTATGAACATCCAAAACATTTCGCCAAAATTTATAACCATTGAACGCGAAGAAGAAAAAAGATGTGTAACATTTTCTTTCTCTTTCTTCAGTAACATTCATCTTTTATTTTGCTATTCTACTATTTTATCTAATTGAGAGAAATTGCTGGTTGATTGATTAAGAATGCTTAGCTAACATTCAAGAGACCCAAATTTGAATCTACTTCAAGGTAGTACGTTTTTCTGGCAAAAAATACAAACCCCACCTGCACAGTCTGTTGTGATGCTTAGCCACATGGCCTTATAATCCTCATGTTCAAGAGCTCCCATCCAACCAATGCCACCCTTACAAGACGTAAATAAATACAGCAATAAAGACTGCTTCATCTCATTGAGAGAAAAAGACTATTGTTTTAAAGTACATACACTTTGAGATAGAAAGTGTAAGGTTACACCTGTCTGGTACAAAAAGGGTTAATTTCAACATGACATGACCATTTTAGTTTCATTTTTTTCTGTCATTTCCTCATAGAATGAATCACTTATCTGCTGTCAAGCATGTCATTATTGTGCTGTCAGGCAAGGGTGGTGTGGGTAAGAGTACAATAGCAGTTCAAATAGCTCTTGGTCTGCATGCTGCTGGCAAGAAGGTGGGTGAACTCTTCTATCACTTCTATGTTTGGTATTGCTTATTTCCCTTTGTTCATTTTTGGTTACTTGAATCATTTAACTGTCACTATCTAATGAAAATTCAAATACTCATCAAGCAGATATTTTTTTTGTTTTAATTGACCTTGGCGCTTAGGTCAACACAGCCTACAAATAAGTAGCAGATAATGGCCTTGGATGTAAAGGCGGGTGGTGTGATAACGACCACATCACCTATTAAGTGCCATTTGTCTATAAACATATGCATGTATAGATCTTGCACTTAGGTTATTTGGGAAGAAAATAGGGGATTTTGAATTAAGATATTAAAGAAAGATTCTCAGAATAAAATGGACCCCAAAAGAACCCAAAATATTATCCTAAAATAACTTAACATCAAGCCCCACAGCAGAATAGAAAGAATGGTAGCAAATGCCAAGAAAGGGGAGCAAGGGCTGACCATCTTGAAGATAGGCACATGATATAATTGACACCTTGGGTAGGAAAATACTGACAAGAAACAGTTTCTTCTAAGCGGTTTGTGATGAGAGATGTTCTGCAAAGCACCTGCTACATGAAGATAGTGTAGCTTAGATTCTAAAGGTTGTATATATTAAACATGATTTTTAAAATAGTTTTTAGTAGGAAAAAAAATACATCTATTTTTTGAGTTTGTGCAGTCGTCTGCATGACACATTAGTCATATAGACAAGATACATCTAAAGATATGTAAGGGAATGAAAAAAAAGATACACTATGTCGGCGTCTGTGGTTTAGGCGTTGCGAACGGGCTTCGTAATGCCGGGGTGCCGGGATCGATCCTGGCTGCGGGCTCTGCGCTTTGCGTTGGTTTCGACAGTGGTATCGAGAAGCCGACCGTCCAGAAAGCAATGGCAAACTGCTGGACGTAAATTTGCCTAGAAAAACCACTACAGCCAAAAAACGCTGGGGTTGGTTCTGCAACGTCCTGTAAAGGATACACAACTGACTTAAACGAGAACAGTTAGCATCTACACCTTATGTCATTTGCTTCGAGAGACGGAGCATCTATGGGTATGCCTGGTGTGCTATGATGTCGGTTCTCAATTCAGTAAATCAGTAAACTAAGGGATAAGTGAATGTTGACATAAAACAGCACATCTTTTGTTACTTTGCTACAGCACCAGTTTCCTTGTTGGGTGCAAGCATCCTCACGTCTTAGTTCAGAATTTCCAACAGTTCCTTTGTAATCCTGTACTTCTCACGAATCTCAGACAAAAACAAATGCCTAAAGAAATTGGTAAATAGAAACAGGGCAAGAAAATAAGAGATATGTCTGTACAGCGGCCAGTGTCAACAGTTAAAGAAAAAAAGATAGCAATATGTTAGGCAGATGATGATGAGAAACATACAGAGAATCAATAAACAGACAGTGAAATGAGAAATAAATGGTTTGAGGAAACGAGGATGTCCAAGAAAAACCCTAAGACAAAGATTGTTTAGAGGAACCAGAAGAGCTGGACTGGATTCTGTCCATGATATTGAAAGTTTTGCACAGGCTCAAACAGAATGGAGGTCTAGAATGTAAGCCCTGTGTGACGTATACCAGGACAATCGAATGATGATGATAATCTTAGCTCCACAATTTATCTAGAAGGATGCCTCCAGTTACACTGATATATTCTGGAAAAGCTATCACTGCTAATAATTACAGAGATTATGGGTGAAGTGGATATCTTCTTCAGCATTCTGACCCTTGAGGTTCATTGCTGCATGTAACACCTGCTTCCACTCATCTCTCTGGTTGGCCTTTTCTTTCCAATTGGTAACACCAAGTGTTTATAGGTCTATCTGGACATTATCTCTTTATCATCTTCTTGGTTGGCCTTGTGGTCTATGAGCATTCAGCCCCCTTGTGTTTACAGTTTTTAACCTCTCTGTAATCTGACACTCTTAATTTGCCCCACCCATTTCGGCTTATTAGCTCTTGATGCCAGCTGGGAGTGTAGAGAGTTGCCAGCGAGGGCTACTGAGGTGGAAGTCCAATAGTTGATTCACGTCAGTTCTCGTCCTTATGATCTGATTATCTACACAGATGGTTCTGTATTGAGAGGAAAGAGAAATGCTGGGTTTCGTAGTGAAAGCCAATGGAAAATGCAGGACAGCCTGGTATATGATACCACAACATCCAGCATGAGAATGGAGGTGGAGGCAGTCACTGCAGCTTGCCGGTGGCTAGAGAACAAAATACATACACATGTTGTAATTGTAACGGACTCTGAAAGCATGCTGAAAAAGATGAAGACAAAAGTGCTTCGGGCAGAGTGGCAAGCTTCGCTTGCAAGGTCATGGGTAGTGAGCATACTTTAGATCTTTTCTTCAGATCATGCCCATGTGGTGGGGAATGTACAGACAGATAGACTGGCTGGATCTGCACTGCTGGGTGGTGAATTGATGCATGACAAAGCAGATGTGGTCAAAGCCCTTTGGAAACAAGTATCGAAGTCAGAAAAGAAAATAGATTATAATGGACTGTAGAGAATAATGCACTTGGGTGTGACCAGAGGGTTTGGCTGGCACACTTTGCTTAGAGGAAAGGCAAGACGGACATACAGCCAGACTATGACTGGCTCACTTAGTATTGAAACTCTGCACTGGTTGCTGAGGATGAGGACGAAGAGCCAATGGGAATGCCCCGAATGCTGTGATGTCAATTTATAACTCAACTCAACACACAACTCATGATACCAGTGATCAATGGTGATTTAAACAGATTATGAATTTCATTGTTGCTTCTCACTCTCCATTCCCCGCTGTTTGCATCTTGGGTGAAGTGGATATGAAAACTGATATTTGAACCCTGCAGGTAGGTCTCCTTGATGTTGACCTGTGTGGACCCAGCATTCCAAAGATGTTCAACCTGGAAGGGCGTGATATTCATCAGTGTCCAGAAGGGTAAGTAACTGTCTGCTTATGTCTGTCTGTCTGTCTAACATTTTGATCCTATGTGTGGTTTGGTGTCTGACATTATCACCAGCTGCATTTGACCTCAACTCTAGGATGATTGATGCAAGTTATAAGCCAGCCTCACTCTTTCATGGTGTGGGAAAGACTTCTTTTAGATTTTTGAAATTTCTAAGAGATATTGGTCATAGCTAAATTGTCATTGTAATATTACAGTGCCAATTTTAAATCTTAAAATCCAACCTTCCGTTTTTAAGTGGCTACCTTTTACTGTTTCGCATTGTGCTAAACTTTGCCTTATATATATATATATATATATATATATATATATATATATATATATATATATATATATATATATATATATATATATATATAGAGAGAGAGAGAGAGAGAGAGAGAGAAGTACCTTAACTCACGCACTTAATTCGTTCTTTGTTCGCGACCTGAACCAATTTTTCCCATTAAATTAACGGAAATCCAAATAACCCCTTCAGCCGCCTCAGAAGCATATTGTTAGACATTTCTTTTTAAAGTTCTATATGTAGCAAAACATATATATATTTTTATATATATATATATATATATATATATATATATATATATATATATATATATATATATATATATATATATATATATGTGTGTGTGTGTACAAACACACATATACATATACACACACATATAGCTTTACCTTTGTGGTTGATGGTTGCTGGCACAGGTAGATGGTAGATGAGGAGGAGAAAGACCTTCCATATGAAGGAGAGTCTCTTTCCATAATAACGACGGGCAGCTGTATGAGATATTCCTGATGTTTGTTTTTTTTCTCTTGTTTGCGACCTCAGAAATGGTTTGATTGCTGGTTTTAGTTATTTCCTTCTTCATTTCAACTGTACATCAGTATGACTAGGTTTCTTTACACCTCTATCACTAACATTTTTCATGTTCTTGGAAGCCATAATGTTGGTTAATTTAATTGGGAGTGGAAAAGCGCACAAACCTGAGTAGAACTGATGCTGTTCGTCAGTCAAAAACATAGCGCCGAAAGCTATATTTGTGTGTTTGTGCGAGTTATCACTCACGGGTCAAGTTAAAATCTGTTTGGAAATTATGTTTGTGGGTCAGTTTGTTGTGACTAGAGGCGTTCATTGTCCAAGGTACCACTATGTGTATGTAAATATATATATGTATATATGACTTTTTGTTGTTGTCTAGCACAGATGGTTACCGGTCTATGTGGACAAGGAACAGAGAATTGGTGTCATGTCTATTGGCTTCTTGCTGGAGGACTTAAATGATGCTGTGGTATGGAGAGGGCCTAAGAAAAATGGTAAATCACAAACTAAAACTTTAAGTTACGTTACGTTGGCACCTATCTAACTGTACAAAAGTAATTATAAATACTTTAAAGAAATAGAGAAACTGTGTACTTTTGGCAAGTGATGAAAGGAGAGGCATAGAAAAGCAAAATGGCAACCGGGATATCAGCGGTAGATGAAGTATAAGAAGTCTAAGAGATGGCATGCAGGAATGTCATCAGTAAAATTGATTCAGTTGAGTTTCCTCATGTAAGTACGGTCCCCATATGGGGGAGAGGGGGGGGGGGGGGGAACAGACCCGCTGCATCCCCTAACAAGCATTTCTTAAAAAAGGTGATGAATTATGCTGTTTCCTTCTAAGTTGGAATGTATCTGTCTGAGAGATGCAAAACTGACAGCCTGCATACAAATAAGGCAGATCTGTACAATTGATGTGCATGCAGAGCACAAGTACTTGACTAATACCAAAGTCCTGAAGTGGACGTCCAACAGAGTTTATAGCTAGTGAAGACTAAGAAGAGTTGAGTTTAGTATGGAGCTAAAGATGGGAGGACTTAACATGAATGTAATAAACACATAAAGGGCAAGAGAGAGAGAGACAGAGCAGCATCATGGTAATACTTGTTTCTTCTTCTCTCTTGATTAGCAATGATCAAACAGTTTCTCAGCGATGTCTACTGGCAGGATCTGGACTACCTGATAATCGACACCCCGCCTGGAACATCAGATGAACACATCACGGTCATGGAAGCTTTGAGAGCATACAACCCTGATGGAGCCATACTGGTCACAACTCCACAAGTAAGCTGTGTGTTTGTTGTAACATGTTTTTCAGTACATTTAGACAATTTAAAGTTTAAATTGAGAGGTGAGACTTTGTTGTACTGGATTTTATCCCATATGTGTCAGTCTCTGTCTGCAGAATACCTCACTGTCTGCTGGAAATTTAACATAAAGCACACATGCCATAGCTCCACTGACAACCCCAGAGATCTGTAAAAAATTAAACTCATGAACCAATGATGCAGTCAGCAAAATGAATCCACAGCATGAAACAAACAGATTGACCACTTTTCAGTGCAAGCCTACTATTTGTTAAATGTGCATTTGACAGGCATTTGATATCTGCAGTGAAATACAAATTTTTTTTTGGAGCTGGAATTGTATTGCTACCTGGAAACTGCCTACTCTTTTTGTTTTTGTCAGCCTCTGACATCTGTCTCTGGAGGGTGGGTTGAAGACTGTTAACACTAGATAACCTCAACCTTATTGCCCTAAGAAGCCGCAAAACCAACATTTCCGGTTGGGACTATTCCCCACAAACGTAACTTTCCTACTTGTCAATAGTGATCTGTTAATGTGACTTGTAGAAAATATTGTTATCTGTTTTCATGCCTGTGCAGATGTTTATGAGGTCCTGATGTGAATATATTGAATACAAATAGCACTTAAGGGGGTTTCCCTTCTATTCACGTTGTTTATTTTTTTTTTAAGCTAAGCTGGTGTCAGTATTTCCTGTGAGCTCAGTGATAGAGGTCATGGGGTCACAGCGTGAGTCACTTGATACATACATTTTTGTGGCCCAGTGGAAGGTTTTCCATTTAATGCTTCAGTCTGTTAAAGTTCCAAAAATTTTCAGATGGTATTCACAATTCAAAAGGGGTGTGCAAATGATTACTAATGCACCTAGACCTGGACGCCACATTTTTATTTGTAATGATTTAACTCATTGCAAGAGTCAGAGAACGGATACAAGAAGATCATTGTTTTACTGTGAGGATGATGGCAGAAAAATCTAGTGTTAATAGAGAGTACATTCATAACATTTAAATTCAAGATTTTGGCAAGAAACAAGTTGCTTGCCGGTTTGTACCACATTCGCTGTCTGATGACCAAAAACATCAGTGGGTTGAGTACCCAGGAGACATCATCAAAACAATAATTTTTTGCCCAAAAACAAGTGTGTGTTCTCATCCTTCCACCCTATTCCCCAGATTTGTCTCCCTGTGATTATTTTCTATTCCCAAAATTAAAGTTATGATTGAAAGGACCCTTCTTTAACGATATTGATGACATCCAAAAGCCGTAACATCAACTTTAAGGTTCATAACAGAAGAACTACAGAGGTCGTTCCAGTGTTTGTTAGATCGTGCCACTTGCTGTATCAGTGCACAAAGGGCTTACTTTGAATAAAATATAAGTTATATCTTCAACTGTTGATTATTTTAATTTTTCATGGAATTAGTCTCATTAAATAATTGTTGGACCTTTTATATATGTAAATATCAATATATATATTATACACACACATATACACATATTTTAAAGGACTTTTTTTTTCCAACAATTCTCGCGGGGTCATTGGCCATTTTTTTAGGCTGCGGGGGCGAAAGGGTTAAGAATATGGTTAGTTTTGTACTTAGAGAAATAATTAATCTAATCTGAAACAGTGTTTCTGTATAAGAATATTGCGGATCTGTTCACACAGGCTGTTGCAGTAGGGGATGTGCGGAGAGAGCTGACCTTTTGTCATAAAACAGGTATTCCTGTGGTGGGAATCGTTGAAAATATGAGTGGTTATGTTTGCCCTCACTGCTCAGTAAGTATGTTTTTAATCTATTTAAGAGATACAGAGCATGTTTTATATAGTAATTCTAACCATAGGCAGATTCATGTAGGCTTTTTACCAACATAAAGACAAGATAATAATGGCTTTCTGGTCATGTTAGGAGAGATATAGGGTGGAGAAATTATGGAGTAGATATGAAGATTAAGGGGTCAAAGATGGGAAGGGGGGGGGGGCATTCTGATTTGATTGCAGTGACATGGAACAGATCAGGGACTGAACATAACAAAGGTTCAGAAGCATACTGAACTGAACAGAAATAAACAGATGGGGAACCACTGAGGCCATAGAAACTGTATTTTAAAAACAAATTTGACGTGTTGATTGGCACTCATAGAAAGAAGTGGTAAGGTAACAGAACACACTAGAACCACACTGTGGTTACCATGCTGGGAATGGAACCTGTCATCTCCAAGTTAGGACAGCACCTTGTTGCAGACAAGTGTACTTACAAAGACACTTGACCTAGTAGACACCCCTGCAATAGTAACTTCAACTGTGGAATACCGACAGAAGTAATCTCAAACCATTGGAATAACACTATAGGTTACAGAAATACATATTAACCAAACATAGGTTGAATAACAAACAAAACAATTATAAATGTTAAATTAAGAATCAACATCACAGCACTCGAGACACTTCCATAAGCGCTCCGTTCCCAATTTCAGCAGCAAGCAAAGAGTTCCAATTCCAGTGGCACCAGTAACTGTCTGATTGTATATAACAATTATAAACACCATGTTATGGCATGTCTTGTATGTAAAGAACATTTACATTAGGTTTTTGTCTTGACTGGTGTGGTAATATTTGTTTAGTAAAATGTTAGAATAAAATATATATTTGTCACCTTCTTTCTTAATCATCAAGTGCCTTGTCAACAGGTGTGGTTAGTCATGCCTTTACACATCTGGCAGTTTCCAACATCATGTTACCCTGTGTGCACTGACATCCTTCAATACCATAACATTGGCTGCTGAGAATCTTTCTTTTTCCAGATTTCTTTCAACAGATCTTTCTAGTTGTCACCTTTTCTGTTTCTTTGTATAATAAAGCCAAGATATGATGACTGCCTTTTTCCACCTGATGTTTGTGATAGTTTGTCTTTGGGTCTTTCTTTCTTCTTTTGGCAATTTTCTGCTTTGGGCTGCTCTATGTCGCAGCTTAACAGATGATTGGTTTCCTAGCTTGGGCACACTCGGTTGCCTGGTATGCTGTGGTGTTGTGGAATCTGAGTGTATCAGTGACTCAATCCATCTTCTTCTTGGTCATCCCTACCTTTGCTGTTTCTACTTTCATGTTGTACTCTGTTGTTGCTGGCATCATTGAAATCATATTCATTGAATGGCCAAACCATTTCAGTCTTTGTTTTTCAATGAATGTAATTATAGGTATTGTTTCAGTAATTCTTAAAATTTCTTGATTCCTCACGTGATCTTTTCTGATTTAGTACACTGCCTTTCTCTTTGTTTTCTTCACTACAGTACTAATTTTGAACATCGAGGGAATTTGAAGCCTTCATCTATAAAAGTGCATTTCTTAGACTTCAAAAATAACTTGGAGAGGGGGGGGGGGGGTCCTGCTTACTAATTGTCTCGGATTCACAGCTAAATTTTGAAACTGATTATATGCAAGACTTCCTTTTCCAACCTCCAGTGACTCATAATGGTGCAAAATATTTGTAGACAAAAGTGCAGCAGATAACTCCATGATGGTATATTGTAGTTGTAATTGATTGGTTGGCTGTAACTCTTCTTTAAACAACTTCTCTGTTGACACGCTCATGTGTAAACTTACCGTCAATCTACTGTTATATTGTATGTGACATAAATATTCTTTCTGTAATAACACTTTCTAGTGCCGATGGTCTGTAAAAATATGGGCACTCTTTTCATATACCCGATATGCCTAAAGGCGGGGAAAGAGATCTTGACTTTGCTTTTTTTTTTTTATTAACACTTTTTTTTGTGATACACTTAATTTTCTACATTTTGTAAACTTACCTTTTGAAGAGATACTAAAGCTAATGTTATCTTTCTTGTCTTTCTTTTTTCCTTTTTTTTTTTTGGTCGTCTTATTCTTCTTCCTTCTCCTCTTCAAACTCTTTTAGTTCTATACAGTATAAAAATCATTTTTTCATTGCATGTTGCCACAAATATGCTAACCATTTGTTCTAAGAATGAAAAATACCTCTGTGTTTGCCAGATTTATTTAGTATACACTCACCAAAACTTAAATATAAGACACTTAATGTGATGTTTGAGAAATTTGGGGAATTGCCAGTAACAAATAATGTATTGTTTGGGACTGAAAGAGTCTGTTCCCGAATGGAGCTTAGTTCAGCCAACACAAACCAAAGCATTTATAAACATGATCCTGTTTGGTTGGATTTTGCCACTAAAGCTTTCTATGAGAATGAGGAAAACAATCCAGCTGAGTCACAGCTTACATTACGCATGTTGGCCTACTGTATTACTAAAAGGTGCTCTAGGTCTTAGGTTATGATCTGCATATTTTTTTTTCAGAATTCATCAGTGATTGCTGATCGGTCTATAACAACTGTAAAAATATGATTCTAGCATTAAATTCAAAATGCACCACTGGCATAAAAAAAGTGGCCTCTGCTTACTTGCTTATTAATGATTAAATGCCAAACAATTACTTTTCAGGAATGCACCAATATCTTCTCTAAAGGTGGGGGTAGGGCATTGGCTCAGCAGAATAATGTTCCATTTCTTGGTGAGTGGTGAAAATGTTTCATATTCTTTTAAACAAATACTTGTCTGAGTGAAGATCTTGTTTTTCTTTTTTCTTTTTCAGCATTCCAAGCCTTTGAGATTCATTGCTGCAGATATCACCTGCTTCCGTTATTTATTCTCTTTCCAGTAGGTGACTCCAAATGTATTTAGGTCTGCTTATGTATTGTCTCACCAGTCTCCTTTTGGTCTGTTTCATGATCTAGGCCCACTCATCTATGGGTACGAAGCTTTTGTCTTGTGTGATGATATCAGTGTTCTTTTACCCTTTGGCCCCCATATAAGTCGAAAACCTGGCACTTCTTGCTTGTGCCACATCCCTTTAAATGATGGTTGCTGCATATTTGCAGTAACCTGATCCTGAGAGGTGGAGTTAACATCATTGGTTGTGTTTGAGCTTGCACAGTGTTTAGAAGGCCATGATTTGAATATATTTACTAGAAATATGTGTTTTTCTTCTGAACAGAACGGCCATTTTAAAGCCATTTTCTATGATAATGTTCCCGCAGCCTTAGTGGTCGAATTCTGAAGTCACTATGTTAGATCCAGTAGAATGTATTCCATTAATTCTTCACTTTGTTCATATATTTATTGATTTTTTTGTACTTTATGTATTAAAATTTTTTGTTTATGTAGATACAAAATTGTTTTACAGTTTTATAGTGACCAATGTGTGTGTGTTTCTTTTAAAATTATTTTCTTTAATGGTTTTTTCGGGGGAGTTACCATGGATTCCTGCACATGGGAGGGGGGAGGGGGGTGTAGTATTTTAAGGTATTTCCCTGGTGAAATTGTTAAATGTAATGGCCATGCGCAACAGCAGTTGCAAACAATGGAAAATGGGGCAGTAGAAACATATAACAGATGGCCAGAATGGTTCTATGCTGTAATTCTTGGGACATATCAGTCAGTGAGTGACAAAATTTACTTTTAAAATTAGATGTAACAAATTATAGCATGTAAAATTTCGAGTCTAATAGTAATTTGTTTTCATAAAAACTAAATGTATTTGTTCCTTGTATTTGATTTTTGTGTATCCTTCTTACATACAAGACATGAGGTACGGAAGCTATCGCGCTTACCTGACATCTTGGAGGTAATAAGACCAAAGCCACATCGAGGCAGAGTTAGACATATCAAGCTCCCAGTTGAGCTTTTCTAAAATGGGTACTGGGACATTTCCAAGATTATAAAGGTAGCCAGCATAGTACTGACCACGCCACCCATCAAATACCGCTTGATCAAGTACAGTAGTACCCCAGTATACATCCACTTTCTAAAAAGTCCAGCTTGGTGTATGTTGTGTAGACATGAACAATTGTGCTTGATATGTGACCTTTGTTTTGAACATGACTCACCGGCTAGAACTTGTTTGAGTTAAAATGATTTTAAAATTCCAGAGAAGTACCACCCTGAAAAGGCCCAAACAAGCCATAATAGCATTGTCTGACATGACCAGAAAATGTTACATTTCTTAAACATCCTGGGGGGGGGGGGGGGGGGGGGGAGAGGGGGGCAGTAACAAAGTTCTTTAAACAGATTTATAGTAAAAGTCAAACCTGCTGAGCCTCAACCAGGTCTGAAAAGGGAATGGAAACAGAAAAAAACAACAAATTTCAATCTTAAAGTTTTATTGGAAGGAAATTCTCACATTGACATCTCCTTCTCTTCCCTTCTCAGTACCATCTTAGTAGGCACTTAACTCTTCTCAACAAGGTAGAATGAGGTTACATGTTCATTTATTTCATCCAAATTGCTTTTGTATTTTAGAATTAAGTGGTGTTTAAATTATTTTATACAACCCCATCATGCACAATATGCCAATAACAGTAGGATTTAAAAAAAAAAAAAAGGGGGAGAATGGGTTAATTAATCTCCCTGTTTTCTTATGGGAAAATTTGTTTTGTATATGTCCTGTTAGGTATAAGTCCAAGGATCTGGAATAGATTAAGAAAATGTTATAAGGTACCACAGTATGGGGTTAGTAAAACTGCCTCAAAGAATGTAATCTTTCAGCATGCAAAACATAATTCTGTTTCCTTTCACTCACAGCTCTCTTTCTTATCATATTTTGCAGGAAGTATCCCTATTGATAGACACTTAACCCTCAGCGTGGACACGGGTAAAAATTTCCTGGAATCAAACCCAGGTTCACCAGCACTAACAGCCATCGACCACATGGTGAAAAAACTCATGGCCATTGACAAGGATCTTCCATAAAGCAAGCTCCCAGCTGCTGTGATAACATTGTTCTCTTGGTGTGAACCCAACCACACTTGCTACTGATTGGTCTTGTTGATGTTATGTAGCTTTTAGTGACGTTGGATGTCCATTTTTTCCATTTTCTTTTTGCCATTATGCGGAAATCATTGATTTGAGCAATGTAGGTTGTTTATACACACTATATAATACCTAAAATATGTGACAATTCGCTTGAACAAATGAGGAAAGCACAGTTGATGGGTATAATCTGAATAACCTGAGGTAAACAGATATAGGTTTGATTGCAGAGAATTTAACGCAGTTAAAAATATAATACATATTGTTGTTTTAGACAGCCAGGAAAATTTCTTAGTGTGAACAGCAGAAAAAACATCAAGTAATGATATTTACAATAACAAACGTCCTCTTAAATGCAACACGAATGCAGATGGGGTTAATCTAAAGCATGTCAGAAGTTCAAGTATTTGGTTAACTAGATAACAGCAAATGAAAGATGTATTACTTAAGTTGAATATAGAGAATCTCTAGCAACAGACACATTTCACAGAATGGAGACTTTTCTATGTGATGTGCTTTTGTCAGTTGCTATGTGAAAGAAAGTTTTTGAATACACATAAATGGAAACCTGATGTATAAAAATGAGTCATCAACACCGGCAGATTAGTTAGTGCATAGTTAGTGCCTCATCAAAACCTGACCTTAAAAGGCAGAACAGGACCAGAGAAGACAAAGAAGATGATTACAGGCCAGCAGAATGTTGATCACATCATCCATTGAGTGCTGATTGGTCTTCAAAAGCATCATATGCTGGATGTGCCACGCATGAATGGTCCTTTCATTGACCACACTTACCAGAGATTGTTACATTTCCTTGAGAAATTGCACAGGTTACAGGTTGACATTGTTTATCTGGAAGCTCTTGTAGTTATACATGTGTTAGTGACTCATGCTTACATGTCATATTGATGGTCATGAATTTAAATTCACAGTTAGACTAGTATGTTTATACTGGCTGATGCCACAAGGTCCACCCAGCCTAAAATGAGTACCGGTAAAAATGTTAAGGGGAGTAAAGGCTGCCCAAGCGGTGTTGACCACTTCACCAGTTGAGTGCTGATTGGTCTGTACAAGTAGAGAGCCAGAACCATACCCTAGATGTACATAAGTCATGATGATGGTCCATTATTTTTACTCACAAGCATTGTTTATTTCACTTCAATGACTTGTGATTTGGCTCAAAAAACACCCTGATTCACACATTTATTATGGACATAATTAGCATAAAATAATATCTGTTGCTGTTTCAAGTATTACAGAATTTATGGTAAGTTGTATTAATTTGTCAGAATTTAAACGATTTTGCTTGCAATTAAAAACAGTAATTATTTTTACTTAAAGTTCCCTGTTTCAGAATGTTACTATATGCATTGTGTTCTACAATCACCTGGTTTCATAATTTACAAAATTTTACACGCAGGTAAAACAGTAATTACTTTTGCTTAAAGAAGTTAGCTTTTCAGAATGTTATTGCATGCATTATGCTTAAGGACAGATTAAACCCCCAAATTGAATTTGATTTAATCTGTTGGAAACAATGCTTTCTGTAGGTACATTTTAGTTAAAGATTGAAGGAAGATTAATTTTGGGTGCTAAAATCAACATATTTTTACCGATATTGACTGAAAATGTCATGTTTTATGCAGAAAATTGCCAAATTTGTACTCAACATTTGCAAAGATTTTTCAGAAACTAATAAAGGGGCTTAATGAAAATGTGCACATATATTTAACATTATATTTCAATAATATTGTGCTAAAAACTTTTCACTTATACCAACGGTTTAAAAGTTAAAAAAATAAGTCTTATTCTATTATGCATTGGCAGATGCACTTACATTGTATAAGCACCTAGTGTATCAGTTTACCATGTAGTATTTCATGATTGTATTATTGTTAAAATGCTTATGCTTATGTTGCAGCTCAATGTTTTCTTGATTACATGAGAAGAAGCAATGAAGAAAGTACATATGTGTGTCTGTGAAACTGTTTAAAAGCTAAGATACTTGTAATGTTTTTATATGAATATTTTTTTCTTCTTAAAATTTGTTGAGAATCAGCTGTTTTGCATAAGCATATTTTTTGTAGTTTGTTTATATGTAATGTACAGTTTAATCAGCTAACATATTCATGTAAAACTGGTGCCGTTGCAATGTTTAGAAAAGTTATCACAGAGGCATGACATAGGAGTAGAGAACAGTGCCAAAGGATTGAACTAAAATATTTTATGTATTGGACTTAAGCTCAGAACAATAAAATATTGCCCCAGGACTACCCCAGGGTTCTGCAATTTCACCAGTGCTCTTTAATGTGTATACTGCAAGATTGCAGGATTTGAATCACCAGGTGTTGGAAGAATATTGACATTTGCCGATGATGTTCTTGCATATAGGCAAGGGAGAGATAGGCGACGGATAGCCCATGAGCTACAGGCAACTGTAGACAAAATGACTGATTGGTGTGCAGAAAAGGGTGCTGTCATCAACTCAGAAAAGGCAGCTTTTTGTGTGTTGCTCTCTGGACAATAGAATTGTAAAAGCTAACGTTCTGAACCTTACAGTTAATAACAGTAACATCAAAAAAGAAAGCAAACTGTTACCTAGGGATCATTTTCACTAGAAGCCTGTCCTTCAGGGACCACGTGGATGCAGTTGCAGTAAAATTCCAAAGATGACTCGATGCTCTCAAGATCATGGCAGCAATAAACATGGAACAAAGAATGCTGTTCTCAATGTTCCAGCATGGAATGCTCGCCATATCAAAGAGTCAGCTGATAAAACTTGAACGCATACAGAATGAAGCCATGCGGATAATTTTAGGATATACAAGAGATATCCCAGTAGTATGTATGCGATGTATACTTGCACTGCCTACTATTGCGGATAAGTTCAAAGTTCTCCAAGCAGAGTCATATCTCAGAGTAGCTGCAGACAAGAGGCACCTCCTGCATAAAGCCCTGTATAGTGATGAGGGTCACAGACTTAAAAAAAAGGAAATTCTTGGACGGCACATGCTGAAGACAATTGGACATGTGTGCAGGCTTGATAAATTAGGTGAGGAGAGGAGTCAAAGTGTCCGATCATGTTTCAGACTTGTGTAGGGTTCTAATCACTTTGGTACGTGAGTGCAGGGACTGGCCAGCTGGTGCTGCAGATAGAAGTTTAACAAATGATTCATGACAATTCATGATGAAGTGCATGGGGGTTCATAGCGAATGCGTATGGACATCGCTTGGTGCAACAAAGCCTGGCATATGATATCAAAACGTTTAGTTTGAGAATGGAGGTGGAGGCAGTCACTGCTGTTTTCCACTGGCTTGAGAATCAGTTGTACACACATGCCGTCATTGTAACTGACTCACAGAGTATATTAAGAAAGGTGGAGACAGGCATGCTCTGTGCAGAGTGCACCAGCATCACTTCAAAGGTCCCAGGTAGCATCATTTGAATATTTTCTCCACTGAGGAGAATGGCACTGCGAGGAGTTACAAGGGGATCTGGCCAACGCTCAGGAGAAAGGCGAGACGGATATACAATCAGACAGTTACTGGTACCATCGGAATTTTAACTCTTCGCTTGCTGTTGAAGATGGAGATGGAGCGCTTATGGGGGTTTCCTGAGTGCCATGATGTGGATTCTTAATTCAACATTCAATGTAGGGCTTTTAGTATAGGTATAAACTGCATCTGTATGTAGGTAATATCAAAAGGGATTATCTCTTTCTGTCGCATATTGTTGCTCCGATGTCACTTTCTTTCCCATAATTTTATTTATGTGCCAATGTCTTTCTCATATTGTTGCCTCTGTGCCAATTTCTTTCCCATATTGTTGCCTCTGTGCCAATTTCTTTCCCATAATGTTGCTTCTCTGCAAATTTCTTTCCCATATTGTTGCCTCTGTACCAATTTCTTTCCCATATTGTTGCCTCTGTGCCAATTTCTTTCCTATAATGTTGCTTCTCTGCAAATTTCTTTCCCATATTGTTGCTTCTGTGATAATTTCTTTCCCATATTGTTGTCTCTGGGCCAATTTCTTGCCCATATTGTTGCTTCTGTGCCAATTTCTTTCCCATATTGTTGCCTCTCGGCCAATTTCTTTCCCATAATGTTGCTTCTGTACCAATTTCTTTCCCATATTGTTGCCTCTGTGCCAATTTCTTTCCCATAATGTTGCTTCTGTGCCAGTTTCTTTTCTGTGATGTTGCTTCTGTGCCTATTTCTTTCCTGTGATGTTGCTTTTGTGCCAATTTCTTTTCTATACTGTTGCTTCTGTGCCAATTTCTTTCCTATAATGTGACTTCTGTGCCTATTTTCTTTCCCATTATGTTGCTGCTGGGTCAGTTTTTTTCCCATAATCTGGCCCCTGTATCAGTTTCTTTCCCATAATCTGGCCCCTGTCAGTTTTTTTCCCCATAATCTGGCCCCTGTGTCGGTTTCTTTCCCATAATCTGGCCCCTGTCAGTTTTTTTCCCATAATCTGGCCCCTGTGTCAGTTTCTTTCCCATAATCTGGCCCCTGTCAGTTTTTTTCCCATAATCTGGCCCCTGTGTCAGTTTCTTTCCCATAATCTGGCCCCTGTCAGTTTTTTTCCCATAATCTGGCCCCTGTGTCAGTTTCTTTCCCATAATCTGGCCACTGTCAGTTTTTTTCCCATAATCTGGCCCCTGTGTCAGTTTCTTTCCCATAATTTGGCCCCTGTATCAGTTTTTTCCCCATAATCTGGCCACTGTGTCAGTTTCTTTCCCATAATTTGGCCCCTGTATCCGTTTTTTTCCCCATAATCTGGCCCCCGTGTCAGTTTTTTTCCCCATAATCTGGCCCCTGTGTCAGTTTCTTTCAAATATTGTGGCCCCTGTGTCAGTTTCTTTCAAATATTGTGGCCCCTGTGTCAGTTTCTTTCAAATATTGTGGCCCCTGTGTCAGTTTCTTTCAAATATTGTGGCCCCTGTGTCAGTTTCTTTCAAATATTGTGGCCCCTGTGTCAGTTTCTTTCAAATATTGTGGCCCCTGTGTCAGTTTCTTTCAAATATTGTGGCCCCTGTGTCAGTTTCTTTCAAATATTGTGGCCCCTGTGTCAGTTTCTTTCAAATATTGTGGCCCCTGTGTCAGTTTCTCAGTTTCTTTCCCATAATCTGGCCCCTGTATCAGTTTCTTTCTCATAATGTTAGTGCTGTGTCACCTTCTATCCCATGCCTTGTTTGTGACCACAGCCAAAGTTAATTTTTAATTTTTGTGATTTTAGTAAAGTAGAAAAAGAGAGCTGCAGATAATATCATATAGGGTTAACTTTCTGTCTTATAATGTTGCTGCTGTGCCTCTTTCTATCCCATGCAGTAACTACCTTTAAGTCTCCAATTGTTGTTTCTGACATATCAGTCGAACGCTGGGGCTGATGAAATTAAATTATAATGCTGCAAAGGTTTCAATAATGTAGAAAATAAGACGATGTCACCATCTGTTAACTCATTAGCTACTGAGTTGCTTAGTTACTGAAAGAGTTAATTCACTAATGCAGCTTAGGCCAGTTTATCAAAGGAAATGTTTGCCTGATGACCTAGCTGTAGTGTTCATGTGTTCAAATCCTCATTAAGAATAGGCATTTTGTTTTAAAGATTGACCAACAGTATCATTTCCATTGTTTGATACTGAAAGAATTAAGTTGGAGTGGTCTATTCCCCACACCCTATCTGCAGGGCATGCCGGTGTGTTGGGAATACAAGCAGACAGATTGTCTGGTTCTACATTACTTGGTGATAAATTGATGCATGACAAGCAGGAAGTTTTAAGGGCCCTTTGGGAGCAGGTAAACAATGTGGAGACATAAATAGATCACCATGGTCTAAAGAGAATGGCGCAGCTCGGAGTGAACCAGGGGATCTGGCCAACACTCATCACTTAGAGGAGGCAAGGCAGTCATACAATCAGACTCACTGGTACCTTTGGAATTGGATCACTGCACTCGTTGCTGAAGATGGGGCTGGAGTGCTTATGGGAACGTCCAAAGTTATGTAATGTTGGGTTCTCAACTCATAACTCATTGAGACCTCGGACATTGTTGCAGATTATGTTGGTTTTAATTTAAACAGACGTGCTACCAGGTATTTGTAGCTCTAGGTGCTACCATCTGATCTTAAAGGCAACCATTCTTAATAGATACTGTTGAACCTAAAATATGCCACAGCGCTGACTTCACTTATTCATATTATGTAAAATCTTCGAGTTTAATACACAATCTAATGTTTTCAAAATGTATGTTAATCAAAAACAAAAACCACAGATTGTTAAGTATTATAAACCTCATGCAGTTGCAGATGTTCAGATTCTTCTTTGCAATAACCGGCTGTAAACTTAGACGGAAAGTTCAGGTTGTTTGTCCAGATCTGAACTTCAGTCTTGTTCTAGGACCTGAGTGTTGCATGCACATCCATTTAACAGATCTGACTTCATTGTATGCAGGCTGTTGGTTCCTTCCCTGTCGGGCAGATGCACTTCAACTTTGAAGGAAGCCCCCAACTAGACGACTCTAACAACATGCTTGTTGGGGAGGCAGTGGGTCTGTTCTTGTTTTCCCCTTTAGTAAAGCTGCGGAACCCACATGGGGAGATATTTGGATGAAATTCCAGCCTTAGATTTTAATGCTGCTGCAGTTTGGTTCTCTGACAAAGCGAAAGAACATTTTTTAAAAATTGTGTTTCATTTTTCTAGAAAGATAAAAAAATGATATCGGCTGTTTGATGTTGCAAATGTTATTAAAATATTCATTATAATTACCGTGAAGATGTTCGTTGTTTTCACTTGATTTGTTTAGTTAAATTAAGTTTGTAATGGATTGTTTAGAAATTATCACTCATTTAAAAAACTAGTTTGTAACAACTTTTGTTGTGTCTCCACTTTTCAAGTGGTAGAAGGGCTTGTTTCACTGACCTCAAGAGCTATGCCAGTGGAAATGTTGCTGTTGGTAGAATCTGCCTTGTTAGCCAGACCAAGAGAGAGTAAACGACCCCTTTCCACCAAATCATGAGTTTTGGACATATAGGGCTAGATATACATTTCTTAGACCAAATAGCACTTGGTGGGTGATGTGGTCAGCATCAAGCCAGCCGTCTTTACTTCCCAGGACTGTGTCTGATACGCACTCAAGGCTGGGTGACCTAGGAGCTGAAGTAATTTTTGGGGGAAACCCCACAACCTAATGAATTGCAGGCGAGCCTCGAGCTGCTACACAATGGCGGCTTCCTCAAAAGAAAGGGAGCCGATAAAGATGCAGACCTGCTTGCTGTCTTTTGAGTTGTCTGGAGAAGTCTAGGACAGTGGTACTGAGTAAGCCAAGACTGACATGTGCCTCTTATTCTAGAGGTCTGCCAGATCCCATGCTGTTTAATAGCATACTGAACACGTTATTATAATAATTTTATAAATATTGGAATCACACACAAAATTGCATTAAAACAGTTAAGGTTTTGTGTGTGTAAAAATATTATTTATCCTTTCTTTATCCTTTTATGCCATTATATTTCACATAGGGCTTGCAGTATTGTCTTCTATTCTGTTCTTTCCTGTTCAGTCTCTCAATCACTTCGATGTCATTGATGCACCTCTGGTCTCTCCCTTCAGTGTTCGTTTAAGGGTTTATTTTGGATGTCCTTTCTTCCTCAGTGCCTTCATTTCCCAATATAGTGCCTGTTTGGTGATTCTCTGCTCGTTTCTTCTCAGGATGTGTCCAGTATAGCGCTGTTTTATTTGTCTTATAACTGTTGTTACTTCTGGTCTCCCAGACATTTCTCTTATTTCTTCACCACTTTGAATTCATCTCATTTTTTGTTTGTTTTCCTCAGGCAGTTGTTTTCAAATTGTTGTCAAATATATTTTAACTTTTGTTCCATGTCTTAGTGGCTCTCCAACTTTCATTGGCATGTGTTGAAATTGAAATAAGATTAGAATTGAAAATATATACTTGGTTTTAAAATTATCATCATCAAGTGCCTCGCCAGCTGGCGTGGGCATTCGTGCGTCACCAGAGATCTAAATCTTTGGTGTTCTGGATCAATTCCACTGATGATATTTCTCCATGCCACTGACAACATCAAGAAATGGACAGGACTAAGTTATCATACACTTATTCATCAAGCAGAAAACGAGAAAGATAACGGGATTTGTGGGCTAGTGCTTCCATCGAAACACCTCCACGACCCTAACGGGTCAAGGGCTATGTTATGTGTTATATTCAGACAGCATTTTTACTCATGTTATGAATGAGTTTTGATAGTTTTCACCCATGCATTAAGGCAGTGCTGATGAGAGCCAGAAGATTTATGGGCACTATCTCTTGGGGCCACCAGCTATGAGATCCCTGCCAGCTCAGTTTATTCTCATTATCTGTGGCGCATAACGAGGATGTGTCACCAGAGTCTTGCATGAGGATCCGTAAAGCCAGCACAAAGCCAGCTGGCGCCCAAGGTGAGGTACGAAGTAACTCCTTACACACATTACAACGCCCTGAACTTTTCTTCACGACCGAAATCACTACGCCACCGGCACTGCAAACAGAGAGCTCTGCACACAGCGTCACTACATCCAGCATGAGAATGGAGGTTGAGGCAGTAACGACAGCTTTCTAGTGACTTGAGAGCCGCACAACCCGACATTTTGTAATTTAACAGACTGAGCATGCTTCGGAAAATGGAAACTGGTTTCCTGCACGCAGACTGGCTTGCATCACTTGTTAAGACTCAAATCAGAAGCTTTTCGAGGATTTTCTGTTCCGGTTATTCAGGTGTGGGAGGTAATGATCTGACTGATATATCAGCTGTGGGGCTTCTCTGGGTGGCTAGATACTTTATGATAAATCGGACATGGTAAATGCTCTCTGGAATCAAATGGATAGTGCAACAGAACAAACACAGAATACAGACACTGTACCCCATAACCACACAGCTGAAATTAGATGTGTTTGGCCAAAAAGTACAGATATTGCAGCTTAGCTGAAAATCACAAGCTTGCCAACCATCCACAGAAGACCAAGAAAAATTTGATCAAATAATTTGAATTTCTCTACAGTATATAATCACAGAATTCAAATGGGGACATTTATGCCAGCTTTTGATACTATAGAGTGTCCATTGACCAACACGAATTCAGTGAAATAGTAGTGGGCAGAAATCAGTTGTTATTTAGCAGATCCTTTGTAGACCTGCACTCCTATTATAGCCTGCTAAAAAGCTTCTCAATTCCTTGCCTGTTCCCTTGCTCATGCTTTTTCATACCCAAGTTTCTCCTGCGTTCTATGCCCACATTTATGCTGGTCAACCCCTGCCTCCTCTTCCAGAAGCTGTGCCTTCTATTATTGTTCTTGTTAACTCTTTCAGACCTAACAAACGCAGCATGTGTCAACCAACACATCATGTGTGATCTGATGTTTTGATTTGACCCATTATTCAAAATTCTACAATAGTATTTTTATCTTCTAAGTTATTTGCTGTCCCCCAGTGAAAGTAATGCATATGTGTTCTATTCTGTGTGGCAAAGTGCTCCTTAGGCATCTCTGTGAGCTTCGTCTTCTTCTCAACACAGATCCATTTGTAGATAATAACATTACTTGGGCGGGAATTGTTGTGAATCATTTGTTGAAACTCTGATTCTGCAGCACCAGCCGGCCAGTCCCTGCACTCATGACCTAAACTCTGATTCTGCAGCACCAGCCGGCCAGTCCCTGCACTCATGACCTAAACTCTGATTCTGCAGCACCAGCCAGCCAGTCCCTGCACTCACGACCTAAACTCTGATTCTGCAGCACCAGCCGGCCAGTCCCTGCACTCATGACCTAAACTCTGATTCTGCAGCACCAGCCAGCCAGTCCCTGCACTCATGACCTAAACTCTGATTCTGCAGCACCAGCCAGCCAGTCCCTGCACTCACGACCTAAACTCTGATTCTGCAGCACCAGCCAGCCAGTCCCTGCACTCACGGCCCAAAGTTATCAGAACCTTACACAAGTGTGATTCTTGCTCGGACACTGTGACCCACTCATCTCATGGCCCAATTTATCAAGCCTACACATATGCCTAATTGTGTCTTCAGCTTGCAACATTCAAGACCTTCTTCTTTTCAATCTGTGACCCTTAGCTCTACCCAGGGCTTCATGCAGGAAGTGCTTCTTGTCTGCAGCTACTCTGAGATATGACTTTGCTTGCAGAACTTTGAGCCTATCTGCAGAAAATTACCCGCATGGCTTTATGCTGTATGCGTTTAAGTTTTATCAGCTGACTCCTTAATATGGTGAGCATTCCAAGTTCATAATCTATAACCGACAGGATCACATGCTGGAACATTGTGAACAGCATTCTTTATTCTATGTTTATTGCTGCCATGATCTTGAGAGCATTGAGTCATGTTTGGCATTTTTCTGCAACTGCCTCCACATGATTCCTGAAGGACAGGCTTCTATCGAAAATGATCCATAGGTACCAGTTTGCTTGCTCTTTTGATGTTACTGTCATTAATTGTGAGGCTTGGAAAATTAGCTCTTACAATTCTATTGTCCAGAGAGCACCACAAAACAGCCGCCTTTTCTGAGTTGATGACAGCACCAGTCAGTCACTTTGTCTATTGTTGCCTGTAGCTCTTGTGCTGTCTCTTGCCTATCACTCCCTTGCCTATATGCAAGAACATCATCTGCAAATGTGAGTATCCTTCCAACACCTGGTACTTCAAGTTCTGCAGATAAACATTGAAGAGCACTGGTGAAATTGCAGAACCCTGGGGTAGTCTCGGGGCGATATTACATGGTTCTGAGGGGCATGTACCTAGGTGAAAGTAGGACAGTTGCTATCCAGTTCACCAGCTAGGGACAGACTCCCTTCTTCGTGAATGCAGATATCAAAAGATCATATCCGACTCAGTTGTAGGCATAGTGATGATCAAGTGCTGCCACTACCGTCTCCTGTCTATTCTGGAACCCCTCATAAACATCAAAAGCAAATGTAGCTGCATTTGACTAGCTATCTTTCCTAAGCTGGTGACTTTAATGACTTTATGAAATCCTTACACAAAACAAAAGCATACATGTGAAATAAGTGTTTAATTTACATTCAAGAGCTAAACAAATATCAAGAAACAACACACTCCAATTGCCACTTATACTTAATCCAAGTATAAAGAAGTCAGTCATTTTTTTTTTGGGAATTATAATATCTAAGTTTTAATGTATAAATTATCTTTCTAACAAAATACATTCATAATTGTGACCAAATTATCTATGAGAAGTTAAAATTTGACAGAAAAAGAAAATGTTATATTAAATATTTATTACAAAGCTGTCATTTGAAACGAAAGAGGTTTAGAATTATGACATACATTTTCTTTCTTGTGTTGTCATTTGAAGGAAAACAGAATTAAATATTAAAGCAGATATCATTGCTACGCTAATCTCAAATCTTTAAAAAAGAACAGGGTAAAGAACCTCTACTAAAAAAAAATAGAGAACAACCAAACATACCTACAATTAAGTCACTGTAACTGGTCAGGTGGTTTTAATTTTAATGTATCTTCTTGCTGGTACATTGTAAAGGTGGTTTATGTAGAACACTACCTTCAACGGTTCTGCAGCTATTGTCAGAATGATTGTATATTTTCATCTCGGGTATACTGCCTGCAGGTTTGACACCCCTGTGATTGGAGGAGCCACAACCTGGATATCAGTCCAACAGGACAATGCCCACATACCTCATTCAACATTTGAGTAAACTGTAAATAGTGCACCTGTTTTACATACACCAAAGCACTACCCTGGTGTACCCTGCAGTCCAAATAGGCAAACAACGGCACATGGATAAAAAAAAAGTTTGGCAAATCGAATTTCAGTAATGAAATGTGCATTAATATTCTTGAATCATTCTATCGCCATGTAGCCATGTTTGGGGGTGGAGAGAAGGGACCCACTGCCCCCCCCCCACCCTTTTTCCACCCAACAAAAGGCGTATGCTTGGTGTGTTGGTATAAAAATAACTTTTAGAAACTAAAGCCACAAGTCAATCATCCCCCTGTGGGATGTAATGTTTCGTTGTTTTAAAGCCCCACCCTGGCTCTTGTCAGGGCAGCAATAAAGCCCGGCCATAAATATGGTCTATTGGCTGAACGCGGTTTCCGGGACCTCTCCACGGGTGATCCTCATCCACATGGTGGCACTATGTGTAATCGGGTGTTTATCGCTTGTGTGATGTCCTAGTAGGGTAAAATGAACTACTACTACTATAGCCATGTAGAAAGTTATAGAGAGCTCAGTCTTCTGGTGGACTTTTGGTGTCTTATGAACTATGTGTATATGTAATGGTTCCAAAACAGTAACTTATAATTGTCAGTTTGTCTTTAAATTAAATAGATAAAGGCCTCCAGACTGCTATTTAATTATTCTTCACCGGCTGTAAACGTCAGCAGAAAGGTCTGGTATTTTTCGCTCACTCCTGGACTTTACTCTTTTCCCATAACTTGAGTTTTAGTTGCACATCGATTTTACATAACTGGCTTATTTGTATGCAGACTGTTGGTTCCTTGCCTCTCAGGTAGATGCATTCAGGCTTTGAAAGAAACCCGTAAGTAGTCTACTCTCATGACATGATTGTTAGAGTAGGTCTATTCTTCCTCCCCCCCCCCCCTCTCTCTCTCTCTCTCTCTCTCTCCCACAACCTGAACTCAGATTGGGAGATTTGTAATTGTTTCCCTCAATCTCTGCATCACTGTATATTATGCTGTACTGGTCGAGCGCTGTGAGGATCTTTTGTGGGTTTCTGTTTCTAAATCGCTATGTACGTTAGTCTTCATTTCTTTATGACTTCTTCGTCTTCTTTTTGCTCTGTGCTCATTATATTTCTTACAAACGGTTCTGGTCTTCTTCTTGCTCTGTGCTCATTATATTTCTTACAAACGGTTCTGGTCTTCTTCTTGCTCTGTGCTCATTATATTTCTTACAAACGGTTCTAGTCTTCTTCTTGCTCTGTACTCATTATATTTCTTACAAACGGTTCTGGTCTTCTTCTTGCTCTGTGCTCATTATATTTCTTACAAACGGTTCTAGTCTTCTTCTTGCTCTGTGCTCATTATATTTCTTACAAACGGTTCTAGTCTTCTTCTTGCTCTGTACTCATTATATTTCTTACAAACGGTTCTGGTCTTCTTCTTGCTCTGTGCTCATTATATTTCTTACAAACGGCTCTCGTTTTTTTCTTACTCTGTGCTCATTATATTTCTTACAAACGGCTCTGGTTTTTACTCTGTGCTCATTATATTTCTTACAAACGGGTCTCTGTAGTAGTAGCTACTCGGGCATTACTGTTAGGTGGCCAAACCATCTGATCTGCGGTTGCTCAGTGAATTGCAAGACTGGGTTTATCACAAGTCTTTTAATTTTGGCCTTTTTACTAGTTTCAGTTCTCTTTGTTACTCAGTCATCTCTTCTAAAAGATCTCATCTCGGTTATAATTTAATAAGGGTCTAAGTTTGTGACTGGTGATATAATATCGGTCAAAGAAATCATTTCCAACCATTCATTGATAGAAACTACTGCTGAGTGCCCCCCCCCCAACCCACGTGATATTCATAATATTGTTAATTAAAAGGTCTATTAAAATCTGGATTAAAATTACAATATACCAAATAAGCTTCAAGTTTTGGTAGCACACTTGTCGTTTTGTTAAATACTCTATGGGATCAAGCAGGTTCAATTGACACATAAACAATTTAACCGCCCCGCCCCCCCCCCCCCCGAAAAAATATGTTAAGTTACGCAGTCGGTCTATTTTAAAACAAGGTGTGTCCTACCATCCGATTAGAGCCAGGGGTAGAAGGATGAGAATAAACCCACCCACTGCACCCAGTGTAATTGACCACAATACAAATTGCAACAGCCTGTTAAAGGCGAACGTAAAAGAAACTTATGAAATAGGATGTGGAAACATTCATCTAAGCAGCATAAAAATAGTTACTGACATATCAGAGTAAACATAAAAATGGTCAATGACGTAGCTCTGCTACTTCTTGCCAAATGTGCCGACCCCTTTGTAATTGCCGACATATCCAGAGGCATCCACGAGGTCCGCGCGTCCTTCCAGCCCTTTTCCTTTGCCGCTCTCGTCGAATCGTTTACCGTGGGTTCCTGTATATTTGGAAACATCAGTCAGTCTGGCGGTGGTTGCATCCACTGCTGCTGATTTCTGTAACAGCAAGAAGTAATGTATTTGTATGGGACCTGGCATTTACCATTCACAGTTTATGATTTTTTTCCTGCTTCTTTTTCCTCTTCCTATTCCTTTTTCAGTATGTACAAGATTGCTGTATTAAAATAGAGCAGCATCACAAAAATGGAAGAGATTACGAAATGTTCAAGGAAATGAAGTTATTGACAAGAAATTTTCAACCTCAGTTAAATGTTATTTGTGACAGGTTGGGAAATACTTTAACAGAATCTAGACAAATTCTAGGAAGATGGCAGGAATACTGCAGCGGAATGTATGATATGAATGACAGTGAGGATATGAATGATATACATGAACCAGTAACAGTAGAGGCAGAACCTGAACCTTCATTAGATGAAATTTCATGGGCAATAAGGAGCCTGAAAAATGGTAAATCACCTGGATGTGATGAGATACCAGCTGAATTGATTAAAGCTGGAGGAGAAGAAAGCATAAAAATCTATCATGCATTATGTGAAAAGATATGGAAATATGGTATTTGGCCAAAAGACTGGAAGAGAACTATCTTCATTCCAATACCAAAAAAGGGTGACCTGAAATTATGTACAAACTATCGAACTATTGCCCTGATCAGTCATGCAAGTAAAATTCTACTAAAAATTATAATGAGAAGACTGCAAAAGAAAATGGAAGAAGAGATTAATGTAGCTCAGGCTGGATTTAGACAGGGAAGAGGAACAAGAGATCATATATTCAACATGCGTTTAATAATAGAGAAGTGTAGAGAATTTAATGTAAATCTGTTCTTATGTTTTGTGGATTATTCAAAAGCATTTGACTGTGTACAACATCAGAAGCTTTGGGAAATCATGAGGAATATGGGCTTTCCATCACATATAGTGCAGCTCATTAAAATGCTCTATCAAGACCAACAAGCAGCAGTCAGAATAGATGGAGAGACATCAGACTGGTTTGGCATCAAGCAAGGAGTCCGTCAGGGATGTGTGCTGTCACCGTATTTGTTCAACCTGTACGCCGAAAATATAATGAGAAATGTAAGAGATGATATAAACAAGGAACAATATGATGCCCTAAACATCGGTGGTCATGAAATACCAGAAATTCGTTATGCTGATGATACAGTATTACTATCAACATCACAAAATGGTTTAGAAAACTTATTAACCTCACTCCAAAGAAATAGTGAAAATCATAACTTATTTCTTAACACAGCAAAAACAAAGATAATGCATACAAACAAAACTGCCATGGAGAAGGAAATATATGTTAATGAGGAAAGATTGGAAGTGGTGGAAAAATTTCGAATATCTTGGGTCACTGGTTACCAACAATGGTGACACAATGAAAGAAATTAAACGGCGACTATCAATTGCTCTTCAAAGACTAAAACAACTGAATAAATTATGGAATTGTACAGATAGAATTACAAAGGTCAGATTTTTAAGAGCATGCATCTTTCCCATTGCAACATACGCCTGTGAGACCTGGACACTTACTAAACAAGCGGAACAGCGCATAAATGCATTTGAATATAAATGTTACAGACAGGTTCTAAGAATATCTTGGGTAAAGAAAAGAACAAATGCATCCATACTTCAAGAGCTGAATATTGAAGAGGGTTGGCTAGTAAAGACAATAAAACAAAGAAAATTGAAATATTTTGGTCACTTGAAACGTCATGGAGGTCTAGAGAGAACAATAATGGAGGGGTATATGCCTGGGAAGAGAGGAAGAGGAAGGCCAAGGAGAAGATGGGTGCAGGATGTGGCAGATGATCTCCAGATGGGTGTATCAGACGCAGGACATCTTGCTCATGATAGGAAGGTTTTCCGGAGGGTTGTTATGGCAGCGAGGTTCCGCGAGGGACATGCTACTGAATGAATGAATGAATTCCTTTTTCTCTTCTTCGTCTTCCAATTCATTTTTCTCTTCCTTCCCCTCCTTCTTCTCCTCTTCTTTTTCTTCTTCCCCCTCCTCCTTCTTTTTCTTCTCCTCCTTCTTCTCCTGCTCCTCGTAATCCTTCTCCCCTTATTCTCCTCTTCCTCCTCCTTCTTGTTTTTTAAACATATGTTTGTGTGTGTGCGTGTATATATAGCATATGACAGGACATTTTATACACTGGGTACCTGACACACCCGCCAAGGTTAAGGGCATTGGAGACGATGATTTTAAAAGTTTGATCTCTCCACTCAGCCTTTAATTTGAGCACCAGTTATAATCTGGGATATTAACAACATCACCAATCTGACGCTCTTTTGGTATTTTTAATACGTCACCGTTTGTTCTACACAAACATGAGTCTAGCACCATATGCCCGATGCGCCACCTATACTACTTGCCGCGGCAGTGTAGCGGCTAGACGCTCGCCTACGGGTCCAAAAGTTGTGCCGGGTAGGTGTTAGTCTTTGAAAAAAAAAAAATTTGGCTTTCAGGTCAATGCAGTCCTAAATGGGTCCCAGGTAAAAGTCAAGGAAAGTAAAGTCAGCCGGCGTAATTATAACTACTTCACTCACCAAGCGCCAATTAGTTTATCAAATATAGATCTATGTTCATATGCACAATTTCGCGTAAAGGGGAAAAAAGGGTCTTTTACTGTTGAAAGCTCCCCCCGTGTGGGTTCCGGGGCCCTATTGTGGGGAAAACAAGAATAGACCCACTGCCTACCCAAAAGCATGGCGTAAGAGTCGACTAGCTGGGGAGCTTCCTTTGAAGTCGGAGTGCATCTGCCTGAGAGGCAAGGAACTAGCAGTCTGCATTCAATTGAATCAGATCTGTAAAACTGCAACACTCAGGTTCTGGAGCAGGACTGCAGTCCAGAAGTGGATGAACAACCAGAATTTTACGCCAGAGTGTACAGCTGGTGAACGCGAAGAAGAAGAAGTTGAAAGCTGAAGTAAACAATGAGAATACCCTGGACAGTTTTACAGTTGAAAGCGGAAGTAAACAATGAGAATACCCTGGACAGTTTTACAGTTGAAAGCGGAAGTAAACAAGGAGAATACCTTGGTCAGATAAAAAGAGTAGTGAAGACATCTTGAAAGAAACTCACAAAGAGAACTGATTGCCCACGTCAGAAAGAGACAATGTAAATTCTTTGGTCATGTGATGAGAAGGAGAAAACTGGAGTACAGCATGACAGTTGTAGTTGGAGGGGAGGAGAGGCAGGGGAAGATCGAGAGAACAGATGCTGGACGGTTTGACTTCATGGCATGGTAGATCATCTGAGTTTACTGAAAGTACATGAGACAGAAGGCTGTGGATAGACATTACTACAAACACCACACGGTATGGTCTTTAAGGAGAAGAAATAATTCTACTTGGCCTCGTAGATACGACCCCCGTTTGCCCTGCTCGCTAGCGTAATCGGTTAAACCTGACATCGCGGCGACTGATGACGAACGCCATGGGGTGCGGGTTCATGCCCAGGGGTTGGCAAAAAAGCTACATATCTCCCAGATTTACGATATCTATCGTGGAATCAAGGCCAAAGGGTTGCGATATCCATAGTACCAAGCCATAGGGTTTACAACTCATGGTTTCTGGACATTAAAGAAAAAACAAAAAACATACAACCCCATTTATCACGAGTGTGTTTCTCACCCTCCCCCCCCCCTTTTTTTTTCTCCCCCACTTAGGATTGCAGTTTGTAGGATTGACATCGCAAGGATGAGAATCAAATAAGTAGAAATTCCTAAAATCCCTTTTAACTGTATAGCCACGTAGGTCAGTTAGACTGGGTGCACCACAAAATGTTTGCGAAGTCACGCCGTCTGCAGTCCACTGCACTAACAATTGGGCTTTCGCTGGGATAAAAATTGGGCCAGGAGAGAGTCCTAAGAGGTGGGTGCGGGGTGAGGCCTCCCCGGGTGTCATCACTGAGGGGTGACGTAATGTGAAAAATAAAGTGTTTTTAAAATAGTATAAAGTATGTGTATGGGGGCGGTGGGGGTAACAGCTTTTTCTTTTTGTCTACCCCATTTCAGAGACAACGATATTTCGTGGAGAATTCACGGGAAAGTGCAATAGTATAGGGGTGTTGGGGTGTGAAATAAACTGGCTCTCCTTTGAATCATCCCCCAAAATGGCTGCATGCCACATTCTGGCCATTCAAAAAATATCCGAACGACGGTGTTCGCGTATATCTAAAATACGGACTTTCTGCCAAGGAACAAATCGCGGCAAAACTAGGATTACTTAACAATCAATATCAACATTTGCACACATTACTAGTAGCAGACGATAAATACCGACCGTTGACAAAAATTTCGAGCGTTTCTGTAGACGACGATACTAGCAGACGATATTAGCGACCGTTGACCTATTTCGGGACATTACAGACGATGAAAGCCGATTAGTAATACTGTGTTCTTCCGATTGAAGGATTTAGCAGCGGTAGATGTCAGACTTATCGGCATGCGCCAAACGCAATTAAACTCATCGCCGAGCTATCTCCCGCGCCGCTACGCGCGGCGTGGATGGGGGCTAAACTAGGTGCCTGGGACTCACGAGTACAGTAATTGGAGGAAGTTGCAGGAGATGCGGTAGCTGCCGCTCGTGAGTCCCAGCCATCTAGTTTAGCCCCTATAGGCGGCGCGCGTAGCTGCCCGGGGGACACGCTCGGCGGTGAGGCACACTCGCAGAAGCAGGTCGGCAAGTAACGTATTGCCGAGATCCTGTCAGAGCATTTGTTTCGTTATCCGGAGCCGGCACACATATTTTTAATAGAACTGACCCGAATTTGGATATTTTTGGATATTTTATGGCCAGAAATTGGCCAATTTAGCTCTCTTCCGAACGCCATCATATTAAAGCCGCCATTTTGGGGAATGATTCAAAGGAGAGCCAATAAACGCAGCCTAATACTAATCCTAAACCCCTATAATACTAAATTTTTTAGGGCACTACCCACGGAATCTCTGAGTCCTCGAGGTGGTGTGAACAAAAATAAAAGTACTGGGCTGTCAAAATGACCCAAAAAAAAATATTGTTGGAATAAAAAAAAATACATATTTGTGGGGAGTGGGGGATTTCCGCACCGCGTACTACCTAACCTCGCTACCCCACTGGGTCAAGAGGCCCTTGAGTTTATACTTATACTCACCAGCATCGCTTGCCCAGCTTTTGCCGCAATTTTCATTTTAATGTCCGTAGCCAGAGCCTGAACTTCCGGGTTGTCGAGGGGGACCTTCCCTTTCACCTTGTTCTTATCGCCAATGACGCAGGCGGCAATTTCATCAATAAGTACTGTAGAACATTTATCGATAGAGATCTTCTTGCTGTTTGATACAAAGGAGAGAAAAAAAAAAAAACTCTATTTATTAAGTGACACATTTTATCAAAGCAACTTGTTATTAACAAATTACAAAAACATGTCACTTAGCTCATAGACTGAAAACAAGGAAATAGCTGATTCTGAGGCTTTATCAGTGTGTAGAAACGCGAACAGAAAGAAAAAAAATCATACACGAGCGATGAGACATTAAAGAAATTTAAAAACAAATATCAGAATATAATTTTTGGATGAAACGGTAATGATTACCTGGATTCAAGTTAACATTGAGTGGCCCGATTCGTTGAAAGAAAAAACTTATTTCAAAAGCTAAAAGAACAGACAAAAAGGAGATCGAAATGCCATGATAGATCAAAAAGACGACTTAAAGGAAAACAAATCAATATGAAGTATTTTTCGGGTCACTTGACCGCCATCTTGGGGACAATCTTCACCTGCAACTTCCCCTCCACCGAGCCACCGTGCGGCAGTGTCGAAAATTAGCGTTCAAATTATTGCAACACATACTGTCGTGTATTGGCTAGTTAGATGTGGGGGTTTGAGTACCCGGCCTATACGGTGCTTTGATCTTCTTTTTTTTTTCAGTAAAAAAGAAAAGGGAAAATTAGAGTGCATGAGATTGGTGTCATGTCGCAATGTTAGCTTCAGATGTTTAGTGAAAGGGTCAAACCGTGGTGTGGACTAGTTAGATGACGCGATTTAGGGCTGAAGGATACCATAAGTCGCCCAATGTAGATCACAAGTAGGTCACTGCTTTTGGTAAGGTGTTTGCTGAAGCTTCTCTGTAAGTCAACAACTACCCTTGGTACATCTTAAAGAGCTGAAGGTACTTCATAAGTCTTTCGCGGGTAAGTCGACTGCTTAAGATCCCTGCTAAACCGACCACTATCAAAGGACACCAGAAGTAACTCAACGCTTTCCCCCACTGGACACCTTAAATCACTCAAGGGACGGCTCATGTCTTTCCCTGGTTTTGATAAATCAACCTTTCTTGGTAAGCCGTACATACTACTCACGTGACCATGATGTATACATACTTTGCGTCCTGCAGTTTCGGCCAGATTCGGGCTTCGATGATGGTTTTGTACTGACTCATGCCACAGGCATCCATACACTTGAGTAATGGCGTTAGTTTCATGCTGTCTCCTGTTTCTGAACTACCCTTGTAAGCGCCCAGTGTCTCCTTTACTTTGCCCATGATATCAAGGCCACTGAATGCCATTTTCTGAAAAGTAATAAGTTTAAAAAAAATTCTTACGATGAATTTGAGGACACATCGCAAATGCAAACAGAGGAGAATGGAGAGTGAGAAGCAAAAAAGTGCAAACTAACAAGCGAATGTGTCGACTGAAGTCTTTATCAGTGAACAGAACATAAATAATAACATCGGTTTCCTTGGCGATGCAGTTTCTTTTAGGCTCTGTGGGACTAAGCACTCCGGCCTTAAGGTACTTCCTACTTACGACGTTCACAATAGTTCCCTCTTTAATCGGTTACCACTGAGGTTATTCAGGCTACCATTTAGTGGATATCTGCTATTATTAACGGCCCACGTGTAAAGTAAGTAAAGTAAACTACCTGTTTCACGACTTCATGCGTATTGGGTACACATAGCTAGACCTATAATTTATAGACCAACCGGTATTCGGTGGTTTATGTGACCAACATCACGCCAGCTGCCATTACTTCCCATGACTTTACCTGGTACCTGGATCAACATGGAAACCAACGTCATTTGTGGTGGGGGGGGGGGGGATTAGCACTGGTTTCTGCCCTGGTCGTGGGATTACGATTTCAGACGACGACACGAGACATTGTGGAAGACAATGGAGACCTCGTTAAGTACTATTTATAGAGCTTTTCCCCCTCTACCGCAGGCAACTATGTGTAGTAGCGGCATCTTTTCTAGTCATTAGACCCCCGCCCCCCATCAACTTCCAGCTTTACTGCAATACACATCTTTTTTTTTTTTTAAAGAGTAAAACAAGCCATTAATTTACAATAGAAAGTAGTGAATACACTATAGCCAACCTTCATTGTGGGACATGCACACAACTGTAACTTCTCTAAAACGAAGTAGATCCTACATGCCAATCTAATTTACAGAGAATACCAGATGGTCAAAGCAGTCTTAACAGCATTATGGGCCTCTGGGCAAACCAATGTGCTGGGCCCACACTTTTCCACAGAGTTTGCAGCTGGTGAACGCGAAGAAGATATTACTTTCATTGCCTTCTGACCTCATTTTTCTATATTCTTATATTGCTACAGTCAGTCAGCGCTATGAGATAAACAACTCGCTAGACATACACATATTGTCATGGGGCCTCTGTGCTCGTGGGGCCCTCGGCCAAGTGCCCAGCGGGCCCATGCGTTAAGACAGCCCTGTAAATGGTTGAACAAAAAGACTCATAGCTTCTTCGGTTGTGCACCAATCATCAAAGGTCTTCTGTAGGAAGGACTTGAGTCATCAATCTAGTCTTGGGTGTTGCTAGGTCACGCTAGCATTTAATAACAACTTGTTCTACACGAAATTTAAATGAAAAGTTGCTGTCAGATGTGAAACCTTTATATTTTGTCATATCACTTGTTTCGGTATACAACGCGTATTTATTTATTTATTTATTTATACAATACAGATTTTCTTCCCTAATATTGTTGCGTAAGGACCACTACAAAACATTAGCTCTCGCAGGGTTAACCCTGGACCCAGTCGATCGCACGACTCTGTCATCTCTTGCAAAACCCTGTCTGTACTACTCAACAACAACAAAACATGGTTACTGAAAGGACATAATTTTATCATAGGCTTGGCATTTGCAATCATATAATTTGGGAAATGAAACTGTTCAAACTGCGCACAAGAATACTTAACCGTTCAGCCGGTCAATTGACAGTTCTCTTGTATCTGAGTCGACAATAGTTTTTACTCGTACGGATGTTCTAGTGAACTAAAAGAAGAAGAAAAAAAAAACGCGCCATCGGATAACTGTGAGTTTTTCCCTCCTTCTCCTCTTCTTTCTTCTTCTTTTTCTTTTTCTTTTTCTTTTTCTTCTTCTTCCTCTTCTTCTTCTTCTTCTTCTTCTTCTTCTTCTTCTTCTTCTTCTTCTTCTTCTTCTTCTTCTTCTTCTTCTTCTTCTTCTTCTTCTTCTTCTTCTTCTTCTTCTTCTTCTTCTTCTTCTTCTTCTTCTTCTTCTTCTTCTTCTTCTTCTTCTTCTTCTTCTTCTTCTTCTTCTTCTTCTTCTTCTTCTTCTTCTTCTTCTTCTTCTTCTTCTTCTTCTTCTTCTTCTTCTTCTTTCTTCTTCTTCTTCTTCTTCTTCTTCTTCTTCTTCTTCTTCTTCTTCTTCTTCTTCTTCTTCTTCTTCTTCTTCTTCTTCTTCTTCTTCTTCTTCTCTTCTTCTTCTTCTTCTTCTTCTTCTTCTTCTTCTTCTTCTTCTTCTTCTTCTTCTTCTTCTTCTTCTTCTTCTTCTTCTTCTTCTTCTTCTTCTTCTTCTTTTTCTTCCTCCTAGTCCTCCTTCTCCTCCTCCTCCTCCTCATTTGAACAGTAGACATCTCTAGCCATGTTATGTCTGTCCAATTGAATCCGAAACGATAAAAAGTAAAAGATGGAGGCCAAGGCTGGCTTTAGTCTAGCGGGCACCTGTTGGTACCAACATTTGGACAAGACTTGATGCATTGATGTATCAGAGTTAAGGTCGAGAGAGAGGACTGACTTCATTGCATTGTGGCTGTCCCTCGTGGTTTGATTTCTCTCCCCGTAACGACCAGCTGCCTGACTAGACCAAGGGTTCTCCTATCGACTGCACAACTTCCTCATACAGTGTGCGCACACACATGCATACAGTACACACACACACACACACACACACACACACGATTGCACACACAGCACACTCACACAAAGCCCCCTTCCCCCAATACACAGCACACACACTCACACATAGCATACACAGCCAACATACAGCACACACACACACACACACACACACACACAATCACCCTCACGCAAATACACGCACTCGCGCACACACATACATACACAGAAATTTGTCAGTGTTCACCATTTTCTTTTTCTTCTGCAGCTATTGAACAATTCCCTGCTTGTGGCGCACATAGCTTTCGCCCTCTCTTCTAATGGATTAGTTAGTGCAGGCGCTCTTTTTACCCGGATGAGTTGCCATTTTGTACATCAATATTGACATTTTATATTTGAAAGGTGCAAAGGTTCATGTTTCCGTCTTCATTATTTGATGAGGAACAAAATGTGGGTCATTATCTTCTTATCAGCTGTTCTCAATCTGCCGGTCGCGACCTTTTTTGGGGGTCGAACGACCCTTTCACAAGGGTCGCCTACTATCACAGGAAAACTCATATTGGCTATCCTCTGAATAACGGCCACATATTATGGCGACCGAAAAAAGAGGCCTCAGTCACATGTAAACTGCGGACTTCCGGCGACTATACCGCCACCGCCGAAGGTATCTCCAGCGAGTATTGCCGCTACTCGCGGCGCGGAGCGGGGCTGTACTAAATGCCTGGATAGCTCACATATTTATTGAAGTAAGGAAGAAAAATAGTGTCTGGGAGTTGCCACAACATGAGGGAACTGTATTAAAGGGTCGCGGCATTAGAAAGGTTGAGAGTCACTGTTCTAAATGATCTGTATCTTATAGGTAGCTGGTCTCACATCAACCCTTCTTAATCGCCTGTGCTCTTCCTCCTCCTGCTCTTCTTCTTCTTCTTCTTCTTCTTCTTCTTCTTCTTCTTCTTCTTCTTCTTCTTCTTCTTCTTCTTCTTCTTCTTCTTCTTCTTCTTTTTAGCGTTCATCGGCTGTAAACTCCAGCAGAAAGTTCTGGTTTTCGTCCACGTCTGAAGTTTATTCGTGTTACAGAACTTGAGCTTTGGGTGCACATACGTTTTACATATCTGTCAATTGGTTCCTCACCTGTCAGGCAAAGGAACTCCAAATTCAAAGGAAACATGTCTAATTAGTCGTCTTTTACGACATGCTTGTTATGGAGACAGTGGGACTTTTCGCCCCCCCCCCCCCCCGGCTCAAGAGAATGGGGACGAGGAATCCGCACCAGGAACCTGCTACAATTTGCGTGATAAATTGTAATGTTACTATTCTTCGATTCTCTAGTAAGACACCGTAACACACAAGCAACATATGTAATTTAGTTTTAAAAAGTTAAGTTACGCATCCTTTACAGGACGTTGCAGAGCCAACCCCAGCATTTGTTGGCTGTTGTGGTTTTTCTAGGCAAACTTTACGTTCAGTAGTTTGCCACTGCTGTCTGAACAGTCAGTTATTGGTACCAATGTCGAAACTAACGCAAGACAATCCCTCGGGATCAAACCCAGCACCTCCGCATAACGAAACCAGTTTGCAATGCCTAAGCCACAGACGCCGTACACAACTAAATTACTAAATATACTATTTCATCAGCAACTGTCAGTAACGGTCTACATACAAAATTGATATACATGTGTATAGTATCTGCAAAAATACGCAGCATACCTGCGTGAATGTTTAGTCCTTGAATGCACGTCTGCTGGCCAAGAGGTTCATAAATATTCATGCGTGACTAAGATTGCTGACTTGAATAATACCAGCTCCCGTATCGACTTGGGCGGGTCTGTTGCTAGTAAACAAAAACTATGTTTACGCCAGTAACTTGGGAGCTGTGTACACCGTCACTGGGGTAACTATGGGTGTAAAATACGTTATTGTGGCTAAAAGGGCAGCGTTTATTAGTGCATACACTTCAGACACGGGAATGGCTACACACTGTAGACACGGGAACTGTCACGTACTGTACAATTCTAGACAAGGATACAGTCTACACACTATAGACACAGAACTCTTACACGGGAAGTTTGCACACTATAGTCCCCGCCCATTTTGAATAATTAGCAGGTGGTCGTGGTGGTGGTGGTGGTGTGGAGGGGGGGGGGGGGGAAGAAGCTCACTGTGCCTCCAGATTCCACCGCTTATGCAAGATTGACTGACAGATAAACACCCTGTGATACAAAGTGCCATTAGGATAAGAATCACCCGGTTACAAGTCCCAGAAACCTATTATTATGACTTCTGGCTGCAGCTGGAATTTGGCTTTGTAATAGCTACAAGTTGCGTCTTATAATGCGGCGGATTTAGTAGAGAGACACTGATTGACATTCAACCCCACCAGGACATTACACTCAGCGATAAACACCTGG